GTTATTGTAAACAGTGCTGCAATGAACATTGTGGTACATGACTCTTTTTGAATTATGGTTTTCTCAGGGTATATACCCAGTAGTGGGATTGCTGGGTCATTTGGTAGTTCTATTTTTGGTTTTTTTAAGGCACCTCCATACTCTTCTCCATAGTGGCTGTATCAATTTACATTGCCACCAACAGTGCAAGAGGGTTCCCTTTTCTCCACACCTCGCCAACATTTATTGTTTGTAGATTTTTTTGTTGACGGCCATTCTGACTGGTGTGAGGTGATGCCTCACTGTAGTTTTTATTTGCACTTTTCTAATGATTAGTGATGTTGAGCATCCTTTCATGTGTTGTTGGCAATCTGTATTTCTTCTTTGGAGAAATGTCTATTTAGGTCTTCTGACCATTTTGGGATTGGGTTGTTTGTTTTTTTAATATTGAGCTGCATGAACTGTTTATATATTTTGTAAATTAATCCTTTGTCCGTTGATTTGTTTGCAAATATTTTCTCCCATTCTGAGGGTTGTCTTTTCGTCTTGTTTACGGTTTCCTTTGCTGTGAAAAAGCTTTGAAGTTTCATTAGGTCCCATTTGTTCATTTTTGTTTTTATTTCCATTACTCTAGGGGGTGGATCAAAAAAGGTCTTGCTGTAATTTATGTCAAAGACTGTTCTTCCTATGTTTTCCTCTAAGAGTTTTATAGTGTCTGGCCTTACATTTAGACCTTTAATCCATTTTGAGTTTATTTTTGTGTATGGTGTCAAGGAGTGTTCTAATTTCATTCTTCTACATGTAGCTGTCCAGTTTTCCCAGCACCACTTACTGAAGAGACTGTCTTTTCTCCATTGTATATCCTTGCCTCCTTTGTCATAGATTAGCTGACCATAAGTGCGTAGGTTTATCTCACTGTGGCTTCTGCTTTGTCTTTGGATGTGGGGTATCTTCTGTGGTGAGCTCCAGTTTCTTTCTGTCCATGATTGTTCAGCAGTTAGTTGTGACTGCGGTGCTCTCGTAAGAGGGAGTGAGAGCCCATCCTTGTACTCTGCCATGTTGAACCAATCTCCTCATTATAATTTTTATTCAAGATACCTTATGTGTTCTGCATTATTCTTTCCCCGTCTGGGTTTATTTTTTTTGCAATTTTTTGTTTGCTTGTTTTTTCTTTGCTTTCATGTTGAAGACTCTTCAACTGTCTGGGATCCTTGACTCCCCACTCTTATTTAAGACTGAGGCCTAACAAACAGGCCAGTGGGTCTGTGTGAGTAGAACTTGTCACTGATGGGCTTCACCATAGGGTGTGACGCAGGGATATGGCTGTTTGGATGGAGACCTCCTGCATATATCACAATCTGTAAGTTTTCTCCTTTGTGCTGGTCAGTCTCTCTAGAGAGGTAATCTCATATGTTAAGCCAGGCTAGAGGATAACACTGTTCTTAGAGATATCACTGTTCCTTCTAAAGACTTTCAGACAAACCTCTTATTTTCTTTCATCCATCACCTCCATCTTCAGAGGAACCAGATACTTCTAAATTCTGAGCCTTTCGAGAGCTTCATAGTGCAAATTAGCTTGATTCTTGTTGGCTTCAATTTATACTCCCCCATCCTGTGCGAGTGCGCGCACACACACACGCACAAACACACAATATCACCTGAAGGCCCAGGGGTTTCTCCATTCTGATCAATCAGTTATCACTCTTCAGTTACTTACCTGCTTGTGCACTTTTTGACATAACTTGCCTGCTTATGCGTGCTTTCCTTTTCTCTTGTTCTTTTGAGTTTTTGCCTCTTTTTTTCCTTTACTGTCCTTTAAGTGGGGTCATAAGAGGGAGTGGAGATAAGCAAATGCATTTATTCAGATAATCTATATTCAGAGTCTTTCTCATTTTACAACCCTATTGCTTTAGTATTGTAACTGGTTGTGAAAAGGGCATGGTTTTTTCCTTCACCTCTCAATTTCAAGTCATTCTGACAACAAGAACTTGAGAGGAGACTGAAGAAAGGGTGATATTTTTGAATTTTGTAATCTCAACTCATTGACAATTCTCTTTAGTCTTCTAATGAGAAACTTCTATGTGACTATTAATATCTGTCTACACTGTCAGCATCCTAGCTAGCTTATAAATTGCGTGTGACCCATTCACTCTGATCATCTCCCTGCATCTTGGTTTCTCTCAACTTTTCAGTGTGAGGGGCTCCTTTTCCTTTCTTTTCCAAAGCTTCAGTTCTGTGGTGGCTTCATCTCTTAGATGAGCTTTCCCCACAACTCTGATGTCACAAAAGTGCTGCCCATCGAATTTACTTATGGTATCAAGTAGTTTTGCACATCATGTTGACTGGTCCGGCAAAAGACATTTATAGAGCAAACCCTGCTTGTGTACTCAGATGCAGAACTATAAAACAATACCTAAACTACCTACTAAAAGTCATATAAACCAGAGAGCTAAATATCAGGTAACATATTTTATTTAAAACATTAAACATGGGGGTTTATACATGTCCTTAGCAGTGCTGCCTGAGCAACAGCCCAATAAATTTGAGACGCTCAAATTCTCAAGCAAACAACCAAGCAACAATTGTTTGTTGAATACGTATGTACTCTAGCCTGAGACGGTACCTGGAGGAATATGAAAAAAACATAAAATATTGTTCCTGCTCTTCCCCCAGGCATGGAGGCATGTCATGTGGAGTCCTCCATTGGATCAAAAGCACAGGCTTGTCATTTGACATATGGGACCAAATATCTTACTGCCCCGTTGCTGAGGCAAAGCTACATGTAAAAAATGCTAGCAACACAGCACTGCACATCTAAATGTTTAATCATCTGTCAGAGCCAGCAAATACTATAGATAGACATTCAGATCAGGAGGTCAAAGGGAATAGAAGCAGAAACCAGAAACATTTACTGAGTTCCTACCTATGAAGCCTATGTTTTAGGTGGTCTGGGAACACATGGAGGGAGAAATTCCTAGCCACTTGGTTTGGCCTTGAATCATGTGCTGGATTTGTATGGAGGGAGAAAAAAGGTATCTCATGAAAGAAGAACGTGGACCACAAAACACAGTGACAAAAGTGATGCCTGTGTGACTTGGAAGGGGAAGGGCAATGGTCTGACTGGAGAAGCAGGGAATGAAGTTGGATTGTAGGGTAGGGCAGGAGTCAACAAGGGTAAGAGAATCTTAGTTTTCAGAAGAAGGAAAAACAGCACATTGCATCACAGAAAACCCTTGGTTTAAGGCCCAACTTTGCTGCATTTTTTTATGACATTAAATGGGGAAACATTTATATAACCCTTCCTAACTGCAATATTTTTGGTTGTTGTCTTATTTATTTGTATCTCTTGGACTGGGACAGGAGTACCCCTTGGACTAGGGGAATAAAAGAGAAATTAGATAGTTTGTGTTCTATTTAAATGACTGGAACAAAGGAGGCAGATGATTTATCCACAGCCTGGCAACTATGGGAAAGATTTCCCTGGCCTCTTGCACCCCTCCCCCCCCACTCCCCCACCCCCCGTCCCTAACAATCCTCTTCCCAGAACAGAAGAAGTTGGTTTGGGTACTTTGCAGGACTACTTTGCAGGTAATCATTATTTCAAAGAATCTCAATTAAGCTCCACTGTATAGGATGTAACTTTGGGATTTTATGCTTTCTCATCTCCCCTGATTCACCCAAGTAGGAGGGATTCCAGGGGCATGCTTGCAGGCCGGAGGGCAGTGGGCCGTTCTCCTAAGAGGGAGGAATGAGACTTTGGTGGTCTTTTTTGGTAAATAACTTTCCATCAACTTCTCAAGTCCCATCTCTCAGTGGAGAAAGATGCACCAGGCCACATAAAACTCAGTGTAGGTCCGAGGGAGCTGCAGCTTGGTCGGCTGAGCAACTGAGGTTATGGCCCTAAATTTTGGTTTCGTGATGATGAAGGCGACCTGGTTAGTAGGCTGCTGGATTTCTTTGTCCCTGCACACATCATGCTTGACGAGACGCTTAAGCAAATAGACTAGGCAACCGCTAGGAGGTAGCCGAGCTATTCGCCGGCCGCCGGGGTAGCAGAAATGGCTAACTGTGTGTCCCTGGGCTCGGCCGGTCCAGGCGGGTGGCGCTTTTCCAAGGTCGGGGTTGCGATAAGCTGGTCGGTGGAGAGAGAAGGACGTCGAAGAACAAGCGGCCCTTGCATCTAAAAGGCAGAGGAGGCGACAGCGCCTCCAAGGCATTGTCACGTCCCGAGGTCTGTTTGCTGGGCCACCAGCTGCCTGCACATCTGGATGCAGCAGTGCCTTTCCCTGCAGGGCGGAGGCGAGGCGGAGGACCCCGGTGTGCACGCACCTCCTCGTGCGCGCGCGTGCGGGCCCGCGAGCGTGTGTACCCGTGTGTGTCTGCGTGTGTGCCCGCGAGCGCGCGCGCGCACGGGTGTCGCTGGAGCCGCGGCTCCGGGACCGGGGAATGGGGGTGGGGGCCCAGGAAGGAATCAATCTCCGCCGGCCTCCTCGCGCCTCACTGCGGGTTAATAACCAACCAGTCAGAGAGAACCGAGGGTGACGGCGGCAGGGTGACAGCCCCGGCGCGCCGGCTGCGTGTCGGAGGGTCAGGCTTTCAGCCAGTCTCGGCCACACTCAGGGATTTGTGTATACACATTTTAGGGGAGGGTTATTATCATTATTGTATTGTTTGCCTCTGTCTCCGGGGGACCAGGGCGGGAGAGAGGGGCGCGCTCTCCAGCCGAGCGTCGCGCATCTGAACGGGTCGAAGGAGGCAATTTCGCGGGTGGGGGAGGGAGGGGAGACCTTGATTTCCACCAATCCCCGGGCGTTTGTCTGCGAAGTCCCGGGCGCCGCGGAAGGCTGCGGCGCGTCGCTGAATTAACTGATGAAAGCGAGTTCTTTTCTTCTCCGGGAGGGGTGGGAAGCAGGGGTCCTGGCGGGGGAGGCGGAGAAGCCCGGGGCGGGCTAGCGGTCCCGGGCCGCCGTGGAAATTTCCAAGGACTTGGCGCGGCGCGGGGAGCGCGTGTGGCGGGGGGGGGGGGGGGGCCTGGCAGCGCAGTAGCGCGGGAGGCGGGGAGAGGCGGCGAAGGGCGCAGGAGCATCGCTCAGAAGGGGGCGCCGCGGACCAGATGTCTGCGAGGGAGCTGAGACTCTCCCCGGCCCCACGCCGAGGGCGACGGTAACGCTGCAGAACCGGCGGGAGCGACTCGCCGCCGCCGCTCCCCGCGCTCTCGGAGACCCCGGCGCCCGCCTTCAGGGGGAGCGACCATGGCTGTAGCTTGTGACTTGCTCCCGGGGCACTTCCCCTAGAAAGAAATCCTCGAAAAAGTTGCATTGGAAAAAATCCTTGCGCCGACCTTTGAAGCTGTGGGCGCCGAAGGAGCGTGCGTGCGAGTGCGAGCACGAAAGCGAAAGGTGTGTGTGCATGGGGGGCCGGCGGTGGGGGGATCCTCCGCTGCCCCTGCGCCTAGCCTAGTGCTGAGGCTCCGGCCCTCGACCGCCACCCTGGGCCCCGGGGGCTGCGATGAGCCCCTGCGGGCGGGCCCGGCGACACACGTCCAGAGGGGCCATGGCCGTCTTGGCGTGGAAGTTCCCGCGGACCCGGCTGCCCGTGGGAGCCAGTGCCCTCTGCGTCGTGGTCCTCTGTTGGCTCTACATCTTTCCCGTCTACCGACTGCCCAACGAGAAGGAGATTGTGCAGGGGGTGCTGCAACAAGGCACGGCGTGGAGGAGGAACCAGACGGCGGCCAGAGTCTTCAGGTACTCCTGCTCTCGCGGCTCCACCCAGCTCTCGTGTCCTTTCTTCCCGGGACGCCGAGGACAGGGTCACCGGCGAGGACCGCCTTGCAGAGGCCCTTTCATCCCGTCCTTCTTGTTCTATTCCCTTTCTTTGTCGTTCCCAACCTGGAGACATTAGTCAGGGGCCCTTCCCCAGCCCTTACCCCGGGAGATGTGCAGACACCTGCTTTGGCCGTGGAAAGTCTGTACGCATTTCTTCCCAAGCCTGAGTTGTATTCAACGATTTGCCGATAACCGGTGGGAAGAAGAATCTAGGCTAACTTTGTCCCTTGAACTTAATGAGAATTTATCTCGGGCTCTGCAGACAGTCGAAGCTGTAGAGAACTAGAAGCAGGTACCAGGCGTCTTCCTGGGGTTTGGTGCATGGTTGGTAACATAAGTCACTAATGAGGGAGTCATGGGCAGTGAAAACATGGACATCCAGCCTAGCTCCCGCTGCTCTGTGCAGTATGCCCATAACAAACGCAAGGCACTTACTGATGCCCTCCTAAAGAGCCGGGGACTGAGTGATTTTTACTGGAGTTTCACCGACTTTCTAATAACAGACATTAATATCCCCATCTTACCAACCACAAACTGAATCTTCAGAGAAGTTACTTCCCCAAGGTCATGTACCTTTGCAGGGTCGGAGCTGGGATTTTGGTCACATAAAGCTCTAAAGCTCCCAGCTCTTCTGCTGGGCTTACAGTGGATGCCTTCTGGAGGCTGGGAGATGTACTTTAGGTGGGGACTTGAAATCAGAAAACAAACAATAAAACCAAAACCAGGTTGGAAATCAACCTCTGAGCATCACTCAGAGGTTGTAGTTTCCCTTCTTTTCTGGGAATTTCAGTTTAAGGGTCTAAAGATGAGTTCTTGGCAGGGGTTGCGCGGTGAGATTGGAGGTGAGGCAAAGCTGCTTCCGCTTCTTCTCTGCCTTCCTGATCGTGCGGAAGGGGCGCCCTGGTGCTTCTCCCGCTGTCAGGAGCCCCTTTCACCTTCAGTCCCTTCAGCTGAAGATGCTGCGGTTGGCGCTTCCTGTGATGGTTGTGGTCTGGAGGTGCAGAGGGGGTACGGAGTGCTTTCCTTTGCTCTGCATAGGATCTTTCCAAGCCGTATATGGCCAAGTGAGAGCCAACTTCACTACTGTTAGTTACAAATGTTCAGAAATATCTGTAAATTAAAAAAACAAACTTTTAAAACATATGGTTTCCTTCCCTTTCTCAGGCCTGCTCTTGGAAAGGTCAAAGAGATAATAGCCAAACCTTGCAGGGAAAGGCAGCTGAATTCGCCTTTAAACTGCGAGGGAAGACGTCCCTTCTGTCTCTCTGTTTAGAATTCTGCTATCATTAAGTTTAAAAATAACCCCACTCCACTTAAAAGTATATAAGAGCTAATTTTCTCTTACCTTCATGGTATTGATTGTTCTACTCAAAAGGCATAGCGTGCAGCCATTCTTTTCTCTAGAGACAGAAGGTACTTTCATTTCAAGTAATGTAAGGAAATGAGTTAAGAGCTTCCCATTGGTTTGCAGTGAAAGAGTACATTTTTTTTTTTTATAGGAGGAGCAATAATGAAGCTCTTTTAGAGAATAGATTTCTTTTGGAGGACATAATTGAGTGGAAAATGCTTCACATTCTGAGAAGCCCAGGCTGGTTGTTTCTGAGACACACTTGCCTCTTGTTGTCTGTAGCCTGGGGGTAATCTTCAGTGTGCTTGGCTGGCGTTTGGTCTAGTCTCTCCGTGCAGAGAAATACTTATGAAAATCCCCAAACTGCCTAAACACATACCCCTCAAAGTTAGTGTCCGTAAGACTGTGTGAGTGGCACCATTGCGCATGGAAAAGAGTTTGGGCTTTGGAGGAGAATCCTGAATTTTTAGACTGACCGTGCCATGACTACGGAAACAGCAGAGGATCTTTGGCAAGTTACTCTATCTCTTTGAGTCTGAGTTTCCTTATGTATAGATAGAGATAATAGCATCTACCTTGTAGGGTTGGTGCAAAGTTTAAATAAAAAAACTGATGCCAAGTGTCTGGCACATATAACTAGTCAGTGGTGTCATTCTAATTGTTAGACAGTGTAAATGATAAGTTAATATATGTTACAACTTTAATAAGGACATTTGACCAGGCCATAGGAATTTGGAATGTTTCACTTGCCAGGTTTGCAGCGAATCATTAGTGGTTCAAATTTGCCCGTCCGCACGCCTCCCCACTGAAGCTAATGAACAGGGACGAGGATTTTAAAAGATAGTCAAAGTATCATGGTTTGTTGAGGATTTTAAAAGATAGTCAAAGTATCATGGTTTGTTAAGTCAAAAATTTTTTTTTACTCTGCATGCTTAATTGTTTTTTAACATCTAGATTGTTAGTATGTGGGTAACAGAGTATGATTGTTAGCTATTAGGTCAGCCAGAGGCCTTTATTGTGTTAAGGAGACACAACTTTGGCAAACAGGTATTTGTGTTTGCCAGTCTGAAATATCTTCTTCACAAATACAAACACACATACATAAATGTACAATGTGCACTTACGTGTGGGGATGTATACACACTTATCCATAAACCACGGAATGATGTATGTATATGTATAAATATATGTATATTCATACATACATACATACAAATAATTGCAGCCAGTCAGTCAACCCATATTTAATGAGTGACTACAATGTACCAGGTATGAGTTAGGCCCTGGGGGATAGCAGTAAACAGGATGCATGGATTGCTTCCCCTGAGACAGCTTACCTCCTCCTAGGGCGCGACTGATAAAAACCTATGAGTAAGGAAATGTGATGGTTTAAAGTCTTGTAAAATCCTGTGAGGACAAAAGAAAGTGTTTCCCTAGGTTTATAAGCATCAGAATTTCAGATTCCGTTTTGCCGTCAGTGCTTCCTTTTACTTTTGTGATTTTCTTCTTCTCCAACCTTAGAACTGAAGTGCTGACTTCTCAGAGGGGAATTTTGACAGATTGCTTGGGGTGGGGGGGGCAGCAAGAAAGTAACAAAGTTGCAAGGGTTTTGCTAAATAGGAAGTTTCCCTATCACCCACATAGTCTAAGAAAGATAAAGAAGTCAATTCACCCTATCATAGAAACTTAAAATTATTATAAAACTCTTGCTGCTTCTGATTGAGTAATCAAGTAGTACAAGGAAATGCCAAACCAAAGTGGCATTTGTCTCTTCCGTCAGGTCCTTCCCCATTTTGGTTGTTCCTCAGAAATAAACTCCTGTTCACAGTTTATGTGCAAGGCACCTGACATGGTAGCAACAACAAAACCAACGAATTATTAGGCTCTTGTTATGTGCATGGCACTATGCTAACTGTTTTAAATGTACTGTCGGATTTAATTCTTCTAAGAACGTTGTATGGGTACCTTGTTATCCGCGTTTACAAAGATGACTATGCCCAGGTCCCTGTGACAAGTGTATATGTATGTAATCAACTAACCACCTGGCAATAGGGTCGTTAAATAGAGGCAGCACAACAGAGTGAAAAACTTAGGAATTGGAGACCTGTCAGTACATGGTTGGAGTTCCCTTTCTAGTTGTGTGACCATTGGCAAGTTCGACTCTCAGAGCTTCACCTTCCCCATTTGTAAAATGGGGTTTGTTATCATTTTTTACAGGTTTATAGTGAAAATCATATGGTAGCGTACAGATAGCATTGAAAAGGATGCTTGCTTCGTACCTCTGTTTAATATGTGGCCCTTAAACAACTGAACCACAAACAGAGGCCTGGGGAGATTCATAGAACGTGGCACTTGATTCTGGGGAAGGAGGGAAGTTGGAGAGGAGGTGGCATTTGTACTCAGCCTTGAAGGATGGTAAGATGGGGGAGTAGTGAGAGGGGAGTGCAAAGGGTGTTCCAGGCAGACAGGACAGCAACAGCCAAGACAGGGAGGTGGGCAAGGGTCCGGTGTGCTTCCTGTGGGAAAGTTCTTAAGTCGCCCACAGCGAGCACAGCAGTAAGCAGACTGGGAGGCAGGGGGGAGCCAGGTCACAAGCTCTGAATGGGCTTAAGGTGCAGCTCATGAGAAATGAACAGACGTCAAGTATCCAAGGGCACTGGCCATGTGTCGACATCAGCAGAGGTGGTACATCACTGTTCCTGGTGGATCTGGAGAAAGGGGATAACACCGGAGTGCTGTGAGCATCCTGTCTGTTCACTGGCTGGGGGCCATCAGTCTAAGTAGTCCTGTTTCTCTTTCCCTTTCTAAATTCTGAACGAAAAACACTCCTCTAAGCAGTTCTAGTTTTATGTAGCTTCCTTTCTGTCCCTATTTTAAATCTGTGGTTACCAGAAGCTTCGGGTGTTTCCACAGCTGCCCTGGTGGCTGCAGAAGGGCTCTGGGTGCGGGGGGGAGGGGGGGCGGTGCAGCCATCTGTGTATATGGGATGTAAGTTTTATGTTTGTTAAGTGGGGAATTTGTGGAATTCACTGTAAAAGTAGTTTAGGAAAAAGCTGGTTTAATGTGGCGCTTACGAAAATAAGCTACCATTATGCTGCAGATTTACACATGTGAAAAAACTCCACCAGCAATAATGCAGTAAAAAAAGTAAGTCATTAACATTGCTTGGACTCATGACATGTACCAAGTCCAGTTCTTAGTGCTTGTATTAGTTACGTTTGTTCCCATAGCTGTTTTATAAAGTAGATATTTGTATGTTCTTTGTCTTACAGTTGAGGAAATGGAGGTTCAGAGAGAACCACTAACAAAGTGATTGGGTTGAGTTTCCACCCACAGCTGTTAGACTCGAAGCCTTACGCTCATTCCCTGACCATCTCGGGGAAATGAGGCATTGCTGATGTCTCTTATGATCTGGCCATGATTACTTTTCCACCATCATCTTTCATCAGTGTTCCTCCTTATGCTTTAGTCGTATTGGTAAAAGTTACCTGAAATAAGTTACCTGAAAATAGTCCCTGAAATAAGCCAGGCTGTGTTGGCTCTGCTTGCGCCATTCCCTCTGCCCGAATGC